ACCCTAAACCCTAAACCCTAAACCCTAAACCCTAGCCTCTAAACCCCCCAAAATAAATTAAAAAGAGTAAACCCTGATTATTTTTGGGGTTTAATTGTTTAATTAAATATCCGGTTCTATAAACCCTAAACCCTAAACCCTAAACCCTGATGAAACCCAAACCCTCGATAGACACTCGACCTCACCGCTAAACCCTAAACCCTAAACCCTAAACCCTAAACCCTGAACCCTAAACCCTAAACCCTAAACCCTAAACCNCCCTAAACCCTAAACCCTAAACCCTAAACCCTGAACCCTAAACCCTAAACCCTAAACCCTAAACCCTAGCCGCTGAGCAGTTGATATTAAATTCCAAACCCTAAACCCTAAACCCTAAACGTTATTTATTTAACCCTAAATTCTAAACCCTAAACATTAGCCACTAAACCCTAAACCCTAAACCCTAAACCCTAAACCCTAGACAGCAAACACTACACATTAAACCCTAAACCCTAAATCGTAAACCGAAAATCCTAAACCCTAAACCCTAAACCCTAAACAAAGAATATTAAACCCTAAACCCTAAACCCTAAACCCTATGCACGAGACGCTAACGCCGACCACCTCTAAACCCTAGCGCGTAAACCCTAAACCCTCAGTACAAAACCCTAAACCCTAAACCCTAGACAGTAAACCCTAAACCCTAAACCCTAAACCCTAGCTCCTTAGTAGTAAAATTGAGAGACTAAACACCGCCTATATATAAACCCTAGATGCCTTACAGCTAAACCCTAAACCCTAAACCCTAGATACACTCAACCTTACCCTCTAAACCCTAAACCCTAAACCCTAAACCCTACACGATAAACCCTAGATACACTCGGCCTTACCTCTAAACCCTAAACCCTAAACCCTACATACACTCGGCCTTACCTCTAAACCCTAAACCCTAAACCCTACATACACTCGGCCTTGCCTCTAAACCCTAAACCCTAAACCCTAAACCCTAAACCCTAAACCCTAGATACATTTGAACGACAGCTCTTAAACACGCCAAACACTAAGCTGTAGCCGCTAAGACGCAAACCCTAAACCCTAAACCCTAAACCCTAAACCCTAGAACCACAAGAGATGATTCACCTATCTACAAAGTAAGGGTTTAGGGTTTAGGGTTNAGGGTTTAGGGTTTAGGGTTCACTGGAATTTCCTCAATCAACTCTTAAACCCTAAACCCTAAACCCTAAACCCCAAAACGTAAACCCTAAACCCTAAACCCTAAACCCCAAAACGTAAACCCTAAACCCTAAACCCTAAACCCTAAATAACAACCCCTCTATGAGCTCAAACAACTCATTAAAATCAATCGTTGCTGCTGCTGCAGTTGCTGCTGCTGCAGCTGCTGCAGCAGCTGCTGCTGCAGGAATAGTTAAAAGCAGCAGCAGCAAACAATATATGCAGCTGCTGCTGCTGCGGCGCTTGCTGCTGCAGCAGGTGCTGCAGCAGCACTTGCTGCAGCTGCTGCAGTATTTAATATATCAGCAGCAGCAGCAGCAGGAAAAGCAGCAGCAGCAGCAGCAAAAGCAGCAGCAGCAGCAGCAAAAGCAGCAGCAACAGCTGCTGCGTGTGTTTTTCTTTTGACCTCTAGTTCAGTCTATCAACCCTAAACCCCAAACCCTAAACCCCAAACCCTAAACCCTAAACCCTAAACCCTAAACCCTAAACCCTNTAAACCCCAAACCCTAAACCCCAAACCCTAAACCCTAAACCCTAAACCCTAAACCCTAAACCCTAATTTAGAATAGGAATTGGGGTTTCTGTGCAGAGATAATCTCCTAAACTTTTTAATTTTTCTACGCCGCGAATTTCATCAGATTGCTGCCCGACGCATGCTGCACACAAACCCTAAACCCTAAACCCTAAACCCTAAACCCTAAACCCTCGTATAAAAACCCTAAACCCTAATGTATAAACCCTAAACAATAAATATAAATAATAAACAGCAAATAATACATAATATATTAGAAGTGATAGAACCTAAACATGAAGCCATAAACACTAAACATTACACACAAACCCTAAACCCTAAACCCTAAACCCTAAACCCTAAACCCTAAACCCTAAACCCTCGCGTACCAACGTGAAAGTCATAAGTATACAACTCTTTAATCTGCAGCAAATACTTCGATTGCATGCGCCGCCTCGCAGCATAAGATTGCTCAACAAGCATCAGCTGCAGCAGCAGCAGCAGCAGCAGCAGCAGCAGCAGCAGCAGCAGCAACAGCAGCAGCAGCAGCAGCAACAGCAGCAGCAGGTACAGTAGCAGCACACGCAAATACAACAGCTGCAAATGCTGCAGCAATCGGAGCGGAAATCAAAGCAGCAGAAATAAAGCAGCAGCAGCAGCAACAGCAGCAGCAAGAGCAGCAACAGCAGCAGCAACAACAAGAGCAGCAACAACAGCAACAGCTGCAGCACCTACCGCTGCAGCAGCAACAGAAGCAGCAACAGCAGCACCAACCGT